ACTGGTTTCTATTAAAGTCTTGGTCTCCGGTCTCTCTCTTGTCTCTCTCTCTGGTCTCTCTCTCTGGTCTTTCTCGCTGGACCCTCTCTGGTCTCTTTCTGGCCTCTATGTTGTCTCTCTCTCTCTGGTCTCTCTCCCTGGTCTCTCTCCCTGGTCTCTCTCTGGTCTCTTTCTGGTCTCTCTCCCTGGTCTCTCGGCCTGGTCTCTCTGGTCTCTCTCTCATGGTCTCTCTCCCTGGTCTCTCTCTGGTCTCTCTCCCTGGTCTCTCTCCCTGGTCTCTCTCTGGTCTGTCTGGTCTCTCTCTCTGGTCTCTCTCTCTGGTCTCTCTTCCTGGTCTCTCGCTGGCCTCTTTCTTGTCTCACTTTGGTCTCTCTTTGGTCTCTCTCTGGTCTCTCTCTGGGCTCTTTCTGGTCTCTCTCTGGTCTCTCTCTGGTCTCTCTCTGGGCTCTTTCTGGTCTCTCTCTGGTCTCTCTCTGGTCTCTCTCCCTGATCTCTCTCTGGTCTCTTTCTCTGGTCCCTCTCTGGTCTCTCTTCCTGGTCTTTCTCTGGCCTCTCTTGTCTCTCTCTGGTCTCTCTCTGGTCTCTCTTCCTGGTCTTTCTCTGGCCTCTCTTGTCTCTCTCTGGTCTCTCTCTGGTCTCTCTTCCTGGTCTTTCTCTGGCCTCTCTTGTCTCTCTCTGGTCTCTCTCTGGTCTCTCTTCCTGGTCTTTCTCTGGCCTCTCTTGTCTCTCTCTGGTCTCTCTCTGGTCTCTCTTCCTGGTCTTTCTCTGGCCTCTCTTGTCTCTCTTCCTGGTCTTTCTCTGGCCTCTCTTGTCTCTCTCTGGTCTCTTTCTCTGGTCCCTCAATCTGGTCTCTTTCTGGTCTCTCTCCCTGATCTCTCTCTGGTCTCTCTCTGGACCCTCTCTGGTCTCTCTTCCTGGTCTTTCTCTGGCCTCTCTTGTCTCTCTCTGGTCTCTCTCTGGTCTCTCTTCCTGGTCTTTCTCTGGCCTCTCTTGTCTCTCTCTGGTCTCTCTCTGGTCTCTCTTCCTGGTCTTTCTCTGGCCTCTCTTGTCTCTCTCTGGTCTCTCTCTGGTCTCTCTTCCTGGTCTTTCTCTGGCCTCTCTTGTCTCTCTCTGGTCTCTCTCTGGTCTCTCTTCCTGGTCTTTCTCTGGCCTCTCTTGTCTCTCTTCCTGGTCTCTCTCTGGCCTCTCTCTATGGACCCTCTCTGGTCTCTCGCTGGCCTCTTTCTTGTCTCACTTTGGTCTCTCTTTGGTCTCTCTCTGGTCTCTCTCTGGGCTCTCTCTGGTCTCTCTCTGGTCTCTCTCTGGTCTCTCTCCCTGATCTCTCTCTGGCCTCTTTCTCTGGTCCCTCAATCTGGTCTCTTTCTGGTCTCTCTCTGGTCTCTCTCTGGTCTCTCTCCCTGATCTCTCTCTGGTCTCTCTCTGGACCCTCTCTGGTCTCTCTTCCTGGTCTTTCTCTGGCCTCTCTTGTCTCTCTCTGGTCTCTCCCTGGTCTCTCTCTAGTCTGTTTGTGTGTCTTTTTGTGTATTTACTTCTTACTCTTTTGAGGTACACTGGACCGATGATTATTTTCTATGAATATGGGTCTGTATAATCTGTATTAGTAGTTTTTCTCTGGAGATGAGTTCTGCGTGTGGAATTAAAGTGCGATTAGAGTTTGATGAAAGCAAAACTACGTTAGCAACACATTTATGGAGAAATCTGGAACATTCTACGCATATGTTAGAGAAGTGCACCAACACATTCAAATGATACAGATGGCCCGAGTGCAGATCTGCCACAGCTGAAAGTCTTTCTTACAAAATCTGTCAATATTCATCAAAATAAATCCGCTGCAGAAGTCATTTAATGTAACTATATACAGTATATGGCATCAACATTTTTACTTGAATCTGACTATTTTCTCCAAGACTAATGCTTATTGTGCATTGTCTCTGATCAAATAAATCCAAATCACTATTTCAACTTTAATCTGTTCAGGATTCAACACAACATCATCGCACTCTGAGGCATAAGGTGCGTTGCATATTCTCTTATTCCCGCTGTGTGACACTTCATTCAGACAGAGCATTTCAATCTAGCACCGCACTCAGGAGCTCCCATTGAACATCACAAGTGCCATATTAGCTAAATGAGATTTGGCCTAATTAGAGAAGTTAGAATGAGAGAGAGAGAGAGAGAGAGAGAGAGAGAGAGAGACATAGAGAGAGAGACACACACACAGAAAGACAGAGAGAGAGATAGATACACACACAGACACACACACACACACACACACATAGACACACAGAGAGAGATAGAGAGAGAGACACACACACAGAAAGACAGAGAGAGAGAGAGAGACACACACACACAGAAAGACAGAGAGAGAGAGAGACACACACACACATACACACAGAGAGAGCGAGAGTGACACAGAGAGAGAGAGACAAACACACACACACACACACAGAGAGACACACAAACACACATGCACACAGAGAGAGCGAGAGTGACACAGAGAGAGAGAGACAAACACACACACACAGAGAGAGAGACACACAAACACACACACACTCACACACACAGAGAGAGAGAGACACACAAACACACACACACACACACACACACACACAGAGAGACACACACACACACACACACACAGAGAGAGAGAGACATTTACACAGAGAGAGAGAAAGAGAGACAGAGACATAGAGAGAGAGAAAGAGAGACAAAGACATAGAGAGAGAGAAAGAGAGACAAAGACATAGAGAGAGAGAAAGAGAGACAAAGACACAGAGAGAGAGAGAAAGAGAGACAAAGACATAGAGAGAGAGAAAGAGAGACAAAGACATAGAGAGAGAGAAAGAGAGACAAAGACACAGAGAGAGAGAGAAAGAGAGACAAAGACATAGAGAGAGAGAAAGAGAGACAAAGACACAGAGAGAGAGAGAGAAAAAGCCTAATGACTGTGAAGTGATGAGCCCATGTTGAGCAGGGACAACATCCTTTGTTGTTCCGTTATTTGGATGAAGACACACACACAAAATATACAATAATGTTTCTCAGCTGGCTGTAAATGCTTCAATATCAATCTTTCAAAATATCTCTATTGTATATTTAGTTATTAAGTTATATACTTATAGGGCGGGGTAAGAAGATAAAGTATTGCACATTGCACATAATTACAGTATTTACTAATTACAGATGACATGCACAGACTCAGCAGTTCTCGTTGGCTTGAGGAGGATCAATTCTACGCAGAGGAAAAACACAAATACAACCGTGCTCTTGTTGCGTCATGGAATAGGTTATGTCATTGTCACAGCACTCACCTGGTTACCACGGTTACAGACCACAGCTTCCTGCGTGTTCAATGAAGAGGCCCCTGTGTACCTAGAAAACACCGGGAAGTCGGCCGCCTCAAAGGATAACTATATCTCGGCACCTTTATCTATTTCTGTCTGCGCTGCCTGTCGAGTGTCACCTCTGCTCCTGTGAAAATACAATAAAACGTACATGTATTTTAATTATGTCTATGTTATGTCTATGTCACCCACATTTGATATTTACTATTCAAAGGCCTCATCTAATTCCTGTTACTCAATTCTTTTTTGTATAGCACAACTGGCAGACAAAAAAAAATTCAAAGTGATTCATATGAATAACTTAAAAACAATGAAACATACAGTAAGTTCATGTTAAAACACAGTAGCATTCAAGAATTGGGCTTAAAACTCTTATTGAAATGTGGGTTTAAAAAGAGATAAAAGCAATAATTAGTACAAAATAGAATCAGATGTGTGTATGTTTATAACCTAGTTTTCACAGTCAGGGAAGAGGCCTGTGTAAGCCAGTAGAGAAAATGGGTCATTTTCTCTTTGTGTATGTACTTTTATTTTGAAAAGAGGAAGTGTGATTCTCTCACTAAAACTTGATTTTCCTGTTTGGCGGTCATGTTGAGTGATAATGACCTTGTGATTGGTTAAAAGATGTATTAGTCCCGCCCCCCTGGTGGCCGACTGGTTCTTTTCGACGGTTTTCTGTCTTTTGCGCTCAGGGAATGAGCGAGACATGCGGTAGATGGTCCATGCTATTATCTATCAGTCTGTGGTGAGTTTGATAAAACAAAATGGTGAAAACGAACATTTAAATTAACTTTTTGTTGATTGGGAATTTGTGTTGTAGAAAGTGGAAGGAGCACGAGCTGGAGAGGCTGTGTTGTTGTGCTCTTACTGTGTTCCTCAGATACGCCATCTTGGTAAGTCCATGCCATGTGAGGGTTAGAAAAACGTGCTAGCCTAATGCTAATATTAGCGCAATGCTAATACTGGCGCGATGCTAACGCTAATTGCGAGTGCTGTTTTTTTGTTTGAAGCAATGCAAAAGCTATTTTTGGTTCAAATATGGTTTTTACCATGTTCTATGTAGTTCATAACAATACTGAGAAGCGCTTTTGGTTATTTTCGTACTATTTTTGGTCCGATGTAAATATTATTTTGAAGTTATTAGTACATTTTTATGGTTTATTATGAGTGTACAGTATTTCTTCTGTAATGCTAAACCCAGTAGCACAGATAAGGGTTTACTGATACAGTTGTAGAATTCATTAGTATAATTCATTTTATGAGTTACTAATAGTTAAAATTCATTTAAAAACTGATGCAAATTGTTAAAAAAATATTTAATTATGTTATGGTTAAATAATTATTTACAAAAGGAGAACGTGATGAATTAATTTGTTTTACAAGGACTAAAAACTTTCATGTAATACTAAAGGGTAGTTGAGTTAAAAACTTGCATGTAAAATTATTGTATACTTTGTAATATAAGAGAAAAAGATTAAGCTATAGCAGAGATAGGATAACAGCTGTAAACAATACCATTATTGTTGTGCAGGCTAGTTCTTCATGGTTAAGAAAACCTGGATGGATTTCCTGGGTTCTCTTCGGATGGAGATCGTGAGACAGGGCTCGAGCGAAGGATGAAGCCGGTGGACGCGGGAAAATATCTTATTCGAGAAAATGGAAGAAAGAATTATAATGGCGGTGAGCACTCGCCCAGAGCTTTATGCTGTATCCAGCGCACAATACAGGGACAGGAATAAAAAGGACCTTGCTTGGAGGAGGATAAGTGAAGAGATCAGGTATGATGGTAAGTTATCTAAAAATTCACTACTGTTCATGTTTAGTAAACTCCGGCCAGGAGTCGTACAATGTACAGTCGCTATGATTTCTGTTCCCGCTCACGTCCATTTGTTTATATAGAGAAAGAAATAAAAAAGAGGTGGAATAGCCTGAGGGACAGGTACATGAGGGAGTGCAGGAAGGAGAAGGAGAGAAAGCTAAGTGGTGCAGCAGCAGGGACTCGCTCTCCTTCCTTGAGCCCTTTGTAACACCGAGGCCATCGACTAGCAACATGCCAGCGCTAAGGGCCGAAGAGGAGAGCACAGGGCACGACCACCTCCAAGAGGAAGAACCAGCAGCATCAGCAGCGGAGCTGACAGATACAGGAGATCTGTAGCTAAAAAACAATGTATGGCAAGAAGTCATGTAGCTGCTGCTTTACTGTTTTGTTGTCGTTATTATTAGCAATAGTATTTGTATGAGTAGTAACGTTCTTAATTAGCAAGTAACAAAATAAATGTACACATGCTGTGAATTAAAAGTAATTTATTTAATAACAGAACAAGCTGACGCTGAGTCTGGCTCAGAGACAGAGCCGACTGCTGCTGCTGGTCGTCCTCTGCTGCTGCACCTTGTGTAGGGATTCAATTTGATTGTTGTGAAAGTATAAACCTATTAAAGTCATATTAAACCTTTCATATATACATATATTTTTGAACATGTGGTCATTGAATAGGAATGTTCCAATTAACTCATTGTGTCCCATTGACGTACAAATACGTCAAAGCAAATAGTAACGTCGTGTGCCATTGACGCATTAATCCGTCAATTGCCTTTTTCGCTATATTCACGTTCCCAGATGTCTATTGTATCTAATATGTATGGGGATGACTTGAGACCATATTTTATCGAGCCAGCAGGTGGCAGCATTGCTCTCTGAATGGTTTGAAAACATGTAGGTGCACATGTTGTGCCTCTTTTTTCTCAACTTTCTGGTGATTTCAGTAAAACGTCCCTCTACTCGACGGAGGATTACAGGGGAACGAAAAAAGCTATAAACAAAATTCTTTTTGCTGATGAAAGTAGACAGTCCATTCTTTTAGAATCTGGTGTTGGATTTCAGATAGTCATAGTACACAATATTCTGTGGGTCTTTAAAAATCAGTAAAAATCATCAGAAATGGCTGCCACTGTGGGAGTACCTGTTCTGAAATAGGCTGGCATTCAATGAGTTAAACACTGTTTTAACAGAATCTAGTTGTTCAATTGAACAAAAGCAAGGAATTTTGTTCAGATTATCAGATTCTACATACTCATGACTTTATATTTTTAAGTCATTGTCCTGTGGTGTTTGCAGGTCCACAAAGGAAGAGAGCGAGGAAGCGCTGCACCCAGGACACCTCCGTCCAGGAGCCAACTCGCTTGGAGCTGGAGCTGGAAGCCTACCTGCAGCTCCATGCTCTCAAAATGAGCACTTCCTTTGCTCTCTGCGTCCTCTCCTGGATAAGGTGCCACCTCAGTAGTTAGAATTTGTAAAATTCCAAATTCATAAATTACTTTATGAGAGCAGCACATTTGGAACCATTGGAGCACAATTAGTGTTTTACTATGAGCTGGCTTCTTTTGCAGGGGAGGAAACTGACTCCAAGCAAGGTCCTTTTTATTATTCATGTTTCTGTTCATATATTTTATTAAAAAAATATATAACTTAAGATTTGGTCTGCTACTTTAATTATGTTCAGGTTTTTCATTATGGTGTTTGTTTGAAAAGGTTAATATCCCTAATTGTAAATTATTTAATTCATGAGAACTTTACTCATAAACGACACATGTTGTCACCAAAGAAGAGACAACATAAAGTAGCGTATCCTGTTTGGACAAACTTATAATTGAGGCCACGCTTGAACATGTTGTGAAGTCGGGACAGCAGCAGAATCTGGAACTATTACCTGTAAAACAAGAAGGACACAGGTGAATTGTTCAAAAACATGCTGGATAAACATAGACTTGGGCTTTATCCAAGACTTCACTATCAGGATGTTGTATTTGTGTCCTGATGTTCAAAAGTAATTCATTGGCAAATACAGACACTCAAATATTAAAAAAGAAGAAATGCTTTTCAGTTTTCATGGGTGGCTCTTAAAAAAGCCGTTTTGAGTCAGTCCCATGAGGACCTGTCTACTGTCGGCTGCCATGCTACTGCCCCCTCCTCACAGAAGTGGGCCATGAACACCTCCCTCGCCTGCAGTGCCTCTGATGGCGTTGTTGGCACCCATCCTCAAGACACCTGGAAGAGAGGCATCTCCATGGGCTACAGCTCCTCTCAGGACTGGGACCTGAGCAGACCCCCTCAGGAAATTGTGGAGAACACATGTGGCCTTCACACACTTCTCCACAACTTCTGGCCGGATATTGAGGTCCCAACAAAACATCCTCCACTGGGATGACCAAATCCCATACGCATCCTCCATCACCAGCCGGGCCCGGAAGAGGCAGTAATTGAAGATGCGCTGTCCAGGGTCGGCGCCTTCACTTCCAGGAAAAGGCCGCATTATCTTCCACAAAGACATGGGGCTGGGGGCCTCGGTGCTCTGCTCCAGGCAGATGCCGGTCAGCTGGCAGACGAAGTGTGCCCGCATGGAGAGTCTGACCAAAGGTGGAGTTGGTCTGGATCCCTCCATCGCTGGTTCTGCCATAGCCCCCTATGTCTACAACAGCGAGGACCAAGGAGTGCCTACCCTTGTAGTTAAAGTACAGGGAGCCAGGGGGGGTGTCTTCAGGTTGTGGTTCCCATCTATAGCACCACAGCAAAGTTCCACCGCTCCTCAAACCAAGCAACCAATCTCCACTCCTCTTCTCCAGGCACAGGCATGAACTCCCCCACCAGGCCGTCCCAGATGGCTGCCACCACATCTGGGATGATGTTGGAGGTGGTGGAGATACCCACCCTGAAGCTACTTGCTATGGTAGTGAAGGAGTCCTCAGTAGCAAGAAACCTACAATGATACAAATACATTTATGACTCGGTAATATACAAAAATATTGTTAATGAATCGTACAATATGATTTTGTTTTTGTTACATTCTATCAGGAATTGCACCAACAATGGAAATTTACCCTCTTTTTATTTTCCAAATTGTGTGACATTTGGGTCGATATACATTTTATTTCTACGTCAGTGTTTCTATGGAATCATCTTATTACTTTACCTCCCAGAGCAGTTACCATGGCAACATATTGTTTACCAAATTGTTTGTTTTTTGTGTGTGTGTGCTCTATTTCAAGTTATATTCACCAGTTTTAGTACTTATCAATGATGAGTAGATGGTAAAAAAAAAACGTAAGTAATCAATGCTATTATTTTTCAGAATTCCATTGGTTTGAATGAGAGCAGTCAAAATGACGGCTCTGGGAGTCCCAGTGTGCATCAGATAAATGTAAACCAGGGGTGTCCAAACCAAGGCCCGCGAGCCAAATGCGGCCCTCTGTGACATATGTAGTCCTCTGCCGCTAACGCAAAGAAGCCACTGAAGTACTTTTACAGTGTCATCCAGCCAACTTCAGCTCCACCGACACAGTCATGCGACACCTTTTGGTAAAGCTCTGAACTTTTGGAGTCCTGTTGTTAACTTTATTTGTATATACTGACATTTGTTTTCTGTCACAAAAATACATATACTGTATGGCGCTAATATGTAGCTGTGGTGTCAATCAATGTAATATCACACCCCATTTTAAAGCCACAACATTAAAAATCCAGTCAAAACAGTTTAAGTCCAGGTCGGCTCCTGGACAAGTCTGGTAAGTAGTTCTCTCACTAAAAAGTTTGGACACCCCACCACCCTCACAACCTCTAAAGGCTGTTAGAGTTGAACAAGACTGTAGTCACCTGAAACAAAAACATTGGGTTCTGGTTAGTGATGATAAATCCACGACTTTAAACTAAATATGTCTGGCTTCTTTCACAAATGGCCTCTCTCTCGCTTTGTGTGTAGAAGGTTCTTTCTGAGGAGTGTGGGCAGCATAAGGGCACACTCCTCACGACTGTTCCATTGTTCCTGTGTGAAAGAGCTCACATGGTTTGGACCGCTGCCCCTGAGCTCCAGCCAACAGCCTCCGAGCCAGAGGTCCCCCTTCACAGGATTCCCCTCACTGTTAAATGACACTGAACCAGAGAACCAAGGAATGACTTTCTGAAAATGTTTTTAACTTTTCCCCAATAGTCATACTTTTTGATGAGGTCACTATACACATGTGCAATAGAAATCACAATAGGTTTTTGGGTAATAATGTTGATTTTATAGATTTTATAACCAGGATAGTCTTGCTGTGGTTTCAGAAGTCTTGTTAGTCCCGGCCCCAGAGGAGAAGGCCATTGCGCATGATTTTAGTGATAGTAAAACCGGAACACCAGGAGGAAATCTTCACAGACATGAGGAGAAAATGCAAAGTCAACGCAGAAAGGCCCTGTGCCGAGACCTGTGAACTGTCTTCCCTGGCTCGGACTACTGGACTGCCCCCCCCGCCTGGGATCTGCCTCAGTCCTGCATAGCGAGGCCTGGTTCTACAGCCCGTCCGTCCTTCACTGTGGGATTCCCCGAGTTTTCTCATTCTCTCCCACTGGGTTATTTGAGTTTTTCCTGCAGAGAGTCTAAGGACAGTGGTTATGATCCATGACATTTGACATTCAACGGCATTTGTGGACATTTACTAACATTTATGGACAAGGGTCAGCCGCTCTTTAAGAACCCATGGCTCTGTGTTTTCTATCAATGCGTTTCGACAGCTTTGCAAAATGCTCCAAGACATTTACCACAAAAGGGACGGCTGACCAATGTCCATAAATGTTGTTGAATGACGAGTGTCCTGGATCACCACCACTTGGACCCTCCTGACAAACGTGGAATAGACAAAGGAAGGACGACAAGGTGAGAAAAGCATCAACTAGTGCGGGCCATCAACTGGACAGACATGAACTACAAAGTCAAAACGAATAATAAATAATGAAAAAGTCCCACACCATGAAAAAGATTGAGCACTACAAAACATTTGTCCCATTGGAGAATCTTGTTTTAAGTCTTTTTTTCAGGAACTAACGCCTTTATTTTCTCATTCTTCCAAGGGAGACATTTCTTGTATATTTTATAACAAGATAATTGTCCCATTTGCAAATCTTGTTTTAAGACAGTCAAAAATGTGCTCAAATTAAGATACATTTTGCCAAATTTGAGAAATGTTTTACTTATTTTCATTTATTTTTGCTTAGTGTGGACAGTTCTCTATTACTCCTCAACTTGTTCATGAAATCTCAACAAGTGGCAGCCAGCAGAACTCTGCATTTTTCAAATTTGACAAAATGTATCTTCATTTATGCACATTTTGACTGCCTTTATGACAAGATTTTCCAATGGACAAACCAAAATCATCTTGTTTTAAAAAGATACAAGAACTGTCTCCCTTTTTGCACAATCTGAGTGATTCTATCCATGCGACCTGTGACATGTCAATTCCTCCATTGTGAGATCAATAAAGTTTAACTTAATTTCATTTCAAGAAGCAGTCCTTGAAATAAGACTAAGTTGCTTCGTCCCAATCTTGCTTTAAGACAGTCAGAATGTTTTCAAATGAAAATGACCTCATATTGTATCATTTTGTTTAGTGTGAGCAGAGAGCAGCAGAGGAACAGACGCCGCACAAACTGAGCCAAATCTGGTCAAGGTGCATCGTTCTGATTCTAAATGAAGGTGGCGACCTTTGTGCACAAGGTGGTTTCCCTTTTGAAGTTGAAGTGTCCGTACTCGTGGTGTTCCCGCTCAGTATGCAGAGACAGGAGCGCTGTGAGTGCACGCGGCCCGCTGGACCCGGGCCAGTCCTTCTGTGGTCCTGGCAGCACCGGTGATCGCCATGGTGATGGGAATGCTGGTCTGAACCGTGCCAAGAGAGCAGCTGGTGGGTAGTGGCAGATTAGTGCAGCAGCAGATTTACAGCCAGTCAAGTAGTGCGCGGCCTTTGAACAGAGTCGCGATGATAAAGGCGCTATTAGGCCAAAGGAAACAAAGACTGCTCAGTGTTTGGGCCCAGCTCGGGGAAAAAGACATTTAGACGTGACTTAGGAGCTCCATAGAAATCACAGAGAGAGCCAAGGATACCGCAGAGGGCTTTAGGAAAGATGTACGCGCCATATAGCCAGAATAAAGCTTTACTTTGTTTGACATGTTTACAAGATATTGGCAAGTCTGTTTGTGAATACTTAGCTGTCTTCTCTCAGAACAGTCTCATCGCTGTCATAACTGAATGGATGGTGGAAGGACTGACTTTGTAGCCACCAGCGAGACAGCGAGCATGTGAGTGCAGGGTTAATAATGCATTGGTTTTATATTGGGCTTTTTTTGGACACTCAAAGACGCTTCACATGACATTGAACTGCTGCTCACAGCTGCCCTGGGGCACACCGACACAAGAGAGGCAGCCTGTATGTGCCATTGTCCCCTCTGACCACCACCAGCCATTTACTCACACACACCAGACTTATTCTAGGCAATGTGGGTGAAGTGTCTTGCCTAAGGATACAGCAGCAGTTTGGCACTTTACAGCCGCTCCACTGTGGCACCTGGTGTTCCCAGAGGTCTCCCATCACAGTAC